TAAACAGGTGCAGGTTTATCATCAGCCATGGTCCCAGTTATTCTGAACATTTGAAGATAACAGGATTAGGTTATTATGTCGCAGCTTGAATCACAACCCTTCTCATCCCTTCTCATCAGTGTCTTTAACGGTGGACTGTGTACTGCAGTCACTTGGGTCAGCTTTAGGCTACTCACTTGGGAGTTCTTTCAAAAAATGTTGCGCTTCAGCTGGAGTGGAGAAAAACTTGACGGATCCCAGATGTTGGATGTGAAGCTGGGCTAGGTAGATCAGCACGTATTCCACCTCCTTCTCTCGCAGCGTCCGCTTCACGTCACGGAACTCGTCTCTCCTACGCTGCAAGTCTGCGGTTTAATCTGGGTAGAACGATATCCTTTTGTTCTCGTATGTCATCTCTTCTTTACTTCTGGCCAGTCGAAGGGCTTTCTCTTTATCGCTGAAGTTCAGGAATTTGGCGATGAGGGGCCGCGGTCTGTCCGACTTCTTCCTGATACGGTGCGCTCTTTCCAGGGTGACAGGTGAGGTGAAGTTATCGTTACCCAGAATTTGCGGTATAAACTTTTCCAAAAATCCTATGGCATCACGACCCTCTGCTAATGTTAGACCTCTTGCTGTGTTTTTCTAAGTCGTCAGTTTTGTCTTTGAGGTGCGTTATCAGTTTCTCCATTTAGTCAACACGTTTCGCGCGTATCTTTGATATTGTCTTCGTTTGTACTCAGTCGTGTCTGTCTGTCCTCGACCTGTTCCGCCAGCGTAGAGAGTGAGGATTCGATTTTCGTTAATGTTGTCTGTATGTCGGCTGTTTTCTTGTCAATATGTTTTGTGAGGTCCTCTTTAGTTTCTTGAATAGCATCGAGAAGTTTTGCTGTTTCCTTTTCCCTGTCCGCCATGTTTCTTGTGTTCTGCTGTTTGATCAAACTTAACTTTAACTCTTCCAGAAACCTTTAGCTTCTTCTTTAAGGACTCCAGAGTTTCCTGAAGCTCCGTTGTGTGTTGTCGAGCAGCTTCATCGATGGGTCTGAATCTGTGGTTGGTGTGTTTTTCTGAATTCCTGCAGATGACACACACTGGCTGCTGATGGTCCAGACAGAAGAGTTTGAGTTTCTTAGTGTGCAGACTGCAGCGAGCCTCTGAAGATCTCTGATCTGTCTTCTGTAAGAAGGCCTCGCACAGGATCTCAAAATACATCATGACAAACCGGACAGCAGAGATCCTCCTCTAATCTGGAGGTCATTTTGTCTTGCTGCCATGGAATGGGTCACATGGAAAAATGTGGGTCAGATATTATATTAATTTTGTCCTTCTTCCCTTAAAGACAGTTTCTTTCTTTCTCCACCAGGCATGAACGGATGTGTTATCAGAGATAATCATCCTGTTTACCTCCGTAGGACAGCAATAATTTATGGCCAATTAGAGTCTGATTAAAGTGTTTATCCATCAGATTTTGATTATACATTGTGGTGTGTGTTTTCTTGACAAGTTGACTCAAACTTTTCCATTTTGTCCAATAACGGCACCTTTGCATCAAATTTGACTTCTCAGAGCAGTCCCCCAAGAAAAACTCTGGGCCATATTTTACCAAACTATTAGCAGTTGTCTTCTCACTGGAACAAGTTGTCTTCAATTAATTTTTAATGAATTGTAAAAAATGATTTTTTTTGCAATTTTCACTTCTTCCTGTAATTACAGTCCATAAAGAATCCATTCAATCCACAACTATCCCAAAAAACCCTGTGAAATCCTGGAGATAATTGACCTGGAGAGATTTCCTGGGACAGTACATTAAAGGTCCAGGTCCATCTACTGGCAGAAATAGAATATAATTTTTATAGGTATGTTTTTCTTGGCCCTGTAGAAAGGACCTACACACTTCACAGCCCGTTCTCATTACCAAATACAGACGTACATGGTGTTCAGTTAGTTGCTTCACCACTATTAAATTAATTAGTAGCTTAATGTTCCAAACTTAGAATAAATGCAGGGCCTCTGTATGTATTGTCTGTTTGATAGCGAGATGACAATGTGACTACAGCAATCACACACTGTTTTCTTGATTGTTATTCTTTTTCTTCTTCCATCCATTTTATAGTTTTATTTTATAATATCCCTTGAACTGATTTTAGGTCAGCAATCATACACACTTTCTTCAGAAAATACAATTATTATTATTAGTTTGTATTATTAATCTGGAAAGTAATCAGATAGTTGCAGTAGACAGCAGTTGTATATCAAAGTCAAAGTCATATGCACACAGCTCAGGAATATCTCTCCAATCCTTCTACAACAGGAGACTGTAGACAGTCAGCAGGAACTTTATTGGCTGTAATTGATTAATGTTATTAAAATAACTGAGTTAAGAGGTCAACTTTCCCACAACCAGGACTGTTTATTATTTAATGCCAAAGAGTAATAAAACACATGATTTATGTATGAAAGGGTTAAATCCATATTCAGTGTCATGCTTCATCACATTTAAAGTGTGTTTTAATGTGTTTACACTCATCCCTACTTATCTCCCTCCATCTGTGTGTGTCCTCTGAGCTCCCCCAGCTCCCCCAGCTCCCACAACTCCCACAGCTCCCAGCACTCTGACCAGAACAATGAAACCTCTATAGAGAGATCGGCTGTGTTAATGTGTTTTTAAAACACTTTTCTAAACTAAACTGTAATAATTCTAATGAAAGTAGTTATTATTTTTATTACTGAATAATGTGCAGGTCTTTAATTAGGAAAACCTGGGAAGGAAAAATCAAGTGTCAAAGCAGCAAAACTCAGTTGTTAAAATAAAATACCAAACAAAGAAAAACACAACCAGTAAAGTAGTATAGGATAATCGATTAATTGTAAATTATTGTTAATTATAAAATATTTGAGTTTCTTAAAATATGCTTTCATTGTTAAACATTGTTTAATGGATTAAACATCTTCCTCAAACACTAAGAAACGCTGTGGTTGCATTGGGCCCCTGAAGCCACCAGGGGGCCTCCACAGTCAATATATTATAATATAACTACAGTACAGACTGTATACTATAATGACTTTAGTCCCTCTGAAATTGATAATCTTGTCGATAGTGCTACAGGCTCACTACGATCAACATTAGACTCTATCGCTCCTATAAAAAGGACATTATTGAAACATAGGAGACTAGCACCGTGGTATAACCACCAAACCCGCCAGTTAAAACAAATAGCTAGAAAATCTGAAAGGAAATGGCGCTCTTCCAAATTATCAGAATATCGCTCAATTTGGCAAGATAATCTTAAAACCTATAGAAAGGCCCTCCGTAATGCCAGAGGAGCCTATTATTCAGCACTAATAGAAGAAAATAAGAACAACCCTAGGTTCCTCTTCAGCACTGTAGCCAGGCTGACACAGTCAGTAGAGTCACAGCTCTATTGAGCCACATATCCCCATAAACTTAAGTAGCAATGACTTCATGAGCTTCTTCTATAATAAAATTATTACTATGAGAGAAAAAATTAATCACCAACTGCCATCAACAGTTATCAGTGGCTCTCCAAGTTCAGGGACTTCTGTCAATGTAAACTTAGATATATATTTAGACTGTTTTTCTGCTATCGATCTTCATCACTTAACTTCAATCATTTCTTCATCGAAGCCATCAACCTGTCTATTAGACCCGATCCCAACTAGGCTGCTTAAAGAAGTTGTTCCCTTAATTGGCACTTCTTTACTGGATATGATTAATCTTTCTTTATTATCAGGATATGTACCACAGTCCTTTAAAGTAGCTGTAATTAAACCCCTTCTTAAAAAGCCCACTCTTGACCCAGGGGTTTTAGCCAACTATAGACCAATCTCTAACCTCCCCTTCCTCTCTAAGATTCTGGAGAAAGTAGTCGCCAGAGTTGTGTGAATTTCTACATAACAATAGTTTATTTGAGGATTTTCAGTCAGGATTTAGAGTTCATCATAGCACAGAGACAGCTCTGGTTAAAGTTAATAATGACCTTCTGACTGCTTCTGACAATGGACTTGTCTCTGTACTTGTATTATTAGATCTTAGTGCTGCATTTGACACCATTGACCATGATATTCTTTTACAGAGACTTGAGCATCAAATTGGCATTAAAGGAACTGCCCTAACCTGGTTTAAGTCATACTTATCAGATCGTTCTCAGTTTGTACATGTTAACGATGAATCCTCCATAAATACTACAGTTAGTCATGGAGTTCCACAAGGTTCTGTACTTGGACCAATACTATTTACTTTATATATGCTCCCTTTAGGCAACATTATTAGGAATCACTCCATTAACTTTCACTGTTATGCAGATGATGCGCAGTTATATCTATCAATCAAACCCAATGAAATTAATCAATTATCTAAATTACAAACATGTCTTAAGGACATAAAATCCTGGATGACCTGCAATTTTCTGATGTTAAACTCAGAAAAAAACGAAATTCTTGTTCTTGGCCCCAAAAACCTTAGAGACTCATTGTCTAAAGATATAGTCACTCTAGATGGCATTAACTTGGCCTCTAGCACCACTGTCAGGAATCTTGGAGTTATCTTTGATCAGGATTTGTCATTTAACTCCCACATAAAGCAGACCTCTAGGACCGCCTTCTTTCATTTACGTAATATTAGAAAAATTAGACACATCCTATCACAGACAGATGCAGAAAAACTAATCCATGCATTTGTTACTTCAAGGCTGGATTACTGCAACTCTTTATTATCAGGTTGCCCCAATAAGTCCATTAAAACGCTCCAATTAATTCAGAACGCTGCAGCACGAGTACTGACAGGAACTAGAAAAAGAGATCACATCTCTCCTGTACTAGCTACTCTGCATTGGCTCCCTGTAAAATGTAGAATTGAATTTAAAATCCTCCTCCTCACCTATAAAGCTCTTCATGGTCAGGCCCCTTCATATCTTAAAGAGCTTATAGTACCCTATTACCCCACTAGAACATTACGTTCTCTAAATGCAGGGCTACTTGTGGTTCCTATAGTCTCTAAAAAGTAGAACAGGAGCCAGAGCCTTCAGTTACCAAGCTCCTCTCCTGTGGAACCAGCTTCCAGTTGTGGTTCGGGAGGCAGACACCCTCACCACATTCAAGAGTAGGCTTAAGACATTCCTCTTTGATAAAGCTTATAGTTAGGGCTGGATCAGGTGAGTCCTGAACCATCCCTTAGTTATGCTGCTATAGGCCTAGACTATCGGGGGATTTCCCATGGTGCACTGAGCTACTCTCTTCCTCTCTCTTTCTGCACTCATTCATGTCCCATTAATGCATGTTACTAACTCCACTTCTTCCCCAGAGTTCTTGTGCTTTCTCGTCTCGCAGGTTCTTGTCGATCCTGGTGGAGCCTCCTGCCATGGTCCTGCTTGACTGCCATTGCCAATACTGTTGTTGCTGTGCACCTGTCTGTCTGTCTGTCTCTCGCTCTCTCTCTCTCGCTCTCTCTCTCTCTCTCTCTCTCTCTCTCTCTCTCTCTCTCTCTCTCACCCCAACTGGTCGAGACAGACGACCACCCACCTAGAGCCGAAGGATCTGTCCTAGGTTTCTGCCTTTTAACAGGCAGTTTTTCCTTGCCCTTGTCGCCAAGTGCTTGCTCATGGTGGTACTGTTGGGTCTCTGTAATTAATGTTAAAGAGTTCGGTCTAGACCTGCTCTATTTGAAAAGTGTCCTGAGATAACTTCTGTTATGAATTGGCGCTATACAAATAAAATTTAATTGAATTGAATTGAATTAAACTGCAGGAGCTGTTGTTGGACATACTGCTGCACACTTCAGATTGTAAAATGAGTCTAATGGCAGCGTGCTGTAAGTGGTCGCCCTTAATGTGCCTGGTGTTAAACTACTTCCTGATCAAACATTATTAATGACTCCTGATTATCCAGACTCTGGGATTACTCCTTGTCATTTGTGTGACCTCCTGTTGCTGATCCACATGATTGAGACTGTATGTACAGTGAGCTGCTGTCTTATCTTTATGTCTTTAGTGTCCTCATCAGGCTCTCCGCTGTTGGACAGCAGGAAGGTTCCCAGCTAATAAAAGTGTGTGTTCAGTTCAGGTCTGTGCAGCAGTTAACCATGAGATCATTGATGCTGTTGTTGTGAGGGCCTCGCCCACTGGCCTCAAACTGTGGGAAAACTAATCCTGCCTGGGACTCGGGGGTTTGTGATACTAATGTGGGCCTATAAATAGAGGAGAGGGATCCTCAGTCCCAGCACAGCTCGCTCTGCTCGCCCACAGAAGCTCAGCGCTCCACCAGAATGTCTCCGACCGACGCCTCGGTGCTCTCCACCAAAGACAGACACAAAGTAAGTCCTCCTTCACTGTCCTCAGCTCCTTTTCTCTGTGGCTGCTCCTCTCGCTGTGATCCTGCCCCGAGGGAGAACTGCTCCAGCTCACTTTTATACTGTTGCAGGGAGGGATCTGTTCTCGTACAAGTTTCCTTCAATTTTTAATGACTTATTTTACTTTCTGCTGGAATTTTATTACAAATAAAAGCCTAAAAACATCATAAAATGAATCACAATTGTGACCTAAAATGTCTCCTGGAGGGGCTGATATTGTCAGTATGTTAGAGACCCCCCCAGAATGTAATAACTCCCCCTTGGCTCCCCATGTAGTTCACAGTGTAACTGACCCAGCTTCCTGTTGTCTTCACCAGCTGAGGAAACCGCTCGTGGAGAAGATGCGCAGAGATCGCATCAATAGTTGCATTGAGCAGCTCAAGGTCCTGCTGGAGAAGGAGTTCCACAAACAGGATCCCAACGCCAAGCTGGTGAAGGATGACGTCCTGGAGATGACGGTGGTGTTCCTGAGGCGGCAGCTTCCTCTCTCTGGAGGACTTAATGCTGCCCGACCTGCGCCGCCTCCAGGACGCCGCCACCCCCGTACCCACCCTCTCCATCCAGGCTGCGGGGAAGCAGCTGGTGGGGTCCGACAGAGGCGTGTGGAGGCTGTGGTAGAGTAGGACACTGAGGAAGGTAGAGAAGGACACTGATGGAGGTAGAGAAGGACACTGATGGTGGTAGAGGAGGACACTGAGGGAGGTAGAGAAGGACACTGATGGTGGTAGAGGAGGACACTGAGGGAGGTAGAGGAGGACACTGATGGTGGTAGAGGAGGACACTGCGGGAGGTAGAGGAGGACACTGATGGTGGTAGAGGAGGACACTGAGGGAGGTAGAGGAGGACACTGATGGAGGTTTGACTCCTGTGGGGTCCTTGTCTATATCTGAGTACTGCGCGCTGCAGTGAGGACGTTATCTTCCATGTGAGGATAAAACTAGTTAGACCTTTTATAAAGAACATAATAATATATTTTTAATATTTTTTTAATATAATAAAATTAGTGTGAAGCTGATGATATTTGAATAAATTCATTTTTTTATCTTAAATCATTTGTCCTCCACAGCAGGCGTCAGATCCACTGGGACCAGTTCATTAAACTATTACTGATAAATATATCATATCTACGTTCTCTACTCAGCATCTCCAACAGGAACCAAAATTTATGTTCTAGCAAATTCATTACTGCACCCTGAAAGTCCGTATGGCCGACCAGGGACCAGGGACCAGGGACTGGGACCAGGGACCAGTGACCAGGGACCAGTGACCAGGGACCAGTGACCAGGGACCAGGGACTGGAACCAGTGACCAGTGACCAGGGACCAGGGACCAGGGACCAGGGACCAGTGACCAGTAACCAGTGACCAGGGACCAGGGACCAGGATTTTCTGATCATCGCAGTTGCTTTTAAACACACACACACAGATATTGGGCTGCTTTAACTTTAACTGGGTTGTTTCTCACATTCACTGTTTGTAGACTCGACTCTTGGTCGGGTTGTCTTTGTAAATGAGAACTGGACTGTACTGGTTCAATACCAAAATAATAATATTACTAATATTATTATTATAAACAGACCTCAGGAAGAGAAGCTCCACCAACATTGTGGTTGTATTCTCTGTCTTTGTTGTTTTTAATGTTTATAGAATAAAATAAAACTCTTTGAATGAGTGTGTGTGTGAGTGTGTGTGTGTGTGTGTGTGTGTGTGTATGTATGTATGTGTGTGTGAGTGTGTGAGTGTGTGTCTGTGTATGTGAGTGTGTCTGTGTGTGTGTGTGTGTGTGTGTATGTGTGTGTGTGGCTGTGTGTGTGTGTGTGTGTGTGTGTATGTGTGTGTGTGTGTATGTGTGTGTGTGTGTGTGTGTGTGTGTGTGTATGTGTGTGTGTGTGGCTGTGTGTGTGTGTGTGTGTGTGTATGTGTGTGTGTGCGTGTGTGTCTGTGTGTGTATGTGTGTGTCTGTGTGTGTGTCTGTGTATGTGTGTCGCTGTGTATGTGTGTGTTTGTGTGTGTGTGTGTGTGTGTGTGTGTCTGTGTGTCTGTGTGTGTGTGTGTATGTGTGTGTGCGTGTGTGTGTGTATGTGTGTGTGCGTGTGTGTGTATGTGTGTGTGTATGTGTGTGTGTGTGCGTGTGTGTGGCTGTGTATGTGTGTGTGTGTGTGTGTGTGTGTGTGTGTGTGTGTGCGTGCGTGTGTGTGTGTGTGTGCGTGCGTGTGTGTGTGTGTGTGGCTGTGTATGTGTGTGTGTGTGGCTGTGTATGTGTGTGTGTGTGTGTGTGTGTGTGTGTGTGTGTGTGTGTGTGTGTGTGTGTGTGTGTGTGTGTGTGTGTGTGTGTGTGTGTGTGTGTGTGTGTGTGTGTGTGTGGCTGTGTATGTGTGTGTGTGTGTGTGTGTGTGTGCGTGTGTGTGTGTGTGTATGTATGTGTGTGTGTGTGTGTGTGTGTGTGTGTGTGTACCTCCCCCGCTGAGTGGTGGTCAGATCTGTGGAGTCTGCCTCTGCTCTGCTTTCCCACACTCCTCAACCTCCCACGTTCGTCCCGGGACAAAGGAAGTGTGCCATGTTGAATACCTAAGATATTTATTTTTATTTTATTGATTATATTTGTTTATTTTTGCCATCTAATATATTTGATGTAGTTTTATTGAACACTGTATTTTATCTTTAAATTATTTAGTTTTTGTTCCATTCTGTCTCAGTAAAGTTTGATTGATTGATGATTGATTGATTATAACACACAATGTTCAGATTACCTCAGATTATATTATAGTGTTTCCACATATATCCTTATATTTATAGTATATTTAAATTAAACTGCTGTTGGATTTAGTTCCTGTACAGTTATATTTATTTTTACAGTAATCTTTAGTCATAAGTATATTTATTAATATTCAATAATCTGTAAATATAAAGGGTTATTTTTGTTTTATTTGTATTGTGCGTGTGTTATTATAGATAGATAGACTTTATTAATCAATTATTATTATTATTATATATATTACAATTATTAATTAATGAATAATTATCTGTTTTGTATCTGGAGCTGCTGTTATTGTTTGATCAATAAAGTTAATCTGATTTTATAAACAGGCCGATCAATATCTGTACAACCCAAACACGCACTGTACAGTACCTGTACTGCCCAGAGGGGGGCGCTGTTTCACTGTCTGTGAAACAGATAATCTCATTAATGATATTATTGGTATAAATCAGCCTCTTTATCCTAAATTATGTATTTATAATATTTATGATTTTATAACCTCAATGTCAATTTTTAGTTTTTAACATATTGATACAAAATGTTAAACTGATAGAATGTTTGTTTCTTTCCTTTTCCAATCAATTAAATTATAAACTACATATTTTACTTCATTTCTTTATCTTGTTTTTGTTTGTTTTCTACGTTTAGTTTAGTAAATATTCAGATGACCTTACTGCTTTCCTTTTTCTATAAGACAATAAAAGATGGATGGAGATAATAACGATTTATTGATTTATTCCCTCTGAAACTGCAGGAGATCAGGAGATCAGGAGATCAGGAGCTTGTTTACAGCCAACGTTTATTTTAAGAACATTTGACTCCACATTCAGTCTCTGATTACAGAAAACACTGTGTTCATTCACAGGAAACCTTCACAGAAGGAATCTAACACATTATTATTATCACTGATAATTACGTCTGTACACACCATCCTCAGTGGAAACAGGAAGTGCATCAACAGAGCACGACAACAGCAAACACCTTCTTCAATATGAAGTAAATGTAAAAGTCCTGAGAACATTTCAGTGTCCTCCTCTACCTCCATCAGGGTCCTCCTCTACCACGGCCTCCACACGCCTCTGTCGGACCCCTCCAGCTGCTTCCCCGCAGTCTGGATGGAGAGGGTGGGTGCGGGGGTGGCGGCGTCCTGGAGGCGGCGCAGGTCGGGCAGCATTACTTCCTCTAGAGAGCTGGAGGTGGACAGGAAGCACAGCGTCTCCTTCCAGCAGTGTGAGTAGCCGTGGCTCTGAGGCTGCAGCTGCCGCCTCAGGAACACCACCGTCATCTCCAGGACGTCGGCCTTCTCCAGCTTGGCGTTGGGATCCTGTTTGTGGAACTCCTTCTCCAGCAGGACCTTGAGCTGCTCAATGCAACTGTTGATGCGATCTCTGCGCATCTTCTCCACGAGCGGTTTCCTCAGCTGGTGAAGACAACAGGAAGCTGGGTCAGTTACACTGTGAACTACAGGGGGAGCCAAGATTCATTTTATGATGTTTTTAGGCTTTTATTTGTAATAAAATTCCAGCAGAAAGTAAAATAAGTCATTAAAAATTGAAGGAAACTTGTACGAGAAAAGATCCCTCCCTGCAACAGTATAAAAGTGAGCTGGAGCAGTTCTCCCTCGGGGCAGGATCACAGCGAGAGGAGCAGCCACAGAGAAAAGGAGCTGAGGACAGTGAAGGAGGACTTACTTTGTGTCTGTCTTTGGTGGAGAGCACCGAGGCGTCGGTCGGAGACATTCTGGTGGAGCGCTGAGCTTCTGTGGGCGAGCAGAGCGAGCTGTGCTGGGACTGAGGATCCCTCTCCTCTATTTATAGGCCCACATTAGCATCACAAAGCCCTGAGTCCCAGGCAGGATTAGTTTTCCCACAGTTTGAGGCCAGTGGGCGAGGCCCTCACAACAACAGCATCAATGATCTCATGGTTAACTGCTGCACAGACCTGAACTGAACACACACTTTTATTAGCTGGGAACCTTCCTGCTGTCCGACAGCGGAGAGCCTGATGAGGACACTAAAGACATAAAGATAAGACACACTGACAGCAGCTCACTGTACACACTTTGTACTGAAGAATCATTCACATAAAGTTTGTTTGAACAATAACTGAATGAGACAGTGACAGCAGGGAAGTAAAGATAAATATCTGTAGTTAGTTTCTCTGTTGAAGTCAATGTGATTCAGTTATTATAATTCAATTCAATTCAATTCAATTTTATTTGTATAGCGCCAATTCATAACAGAAGTTATCTCAGGACACTTTTCAAATAGAGCAGGTCTAGACCGAACTCTTTAAAACATTAATTACAGAGACCCAACAGTACCACCATGAGCAAGACCTTGGAGACAAGGGCAAGGAAAAACTGCCTGTTAAAAGGCAGAAACCTAGGACAGATCCTCCGGCTCTAGGTGGGTGGTCGTCTGTCTCGACCAGTTGGGGTGAGAGAGAGAGAGAGAGAGAGAGAGAGAGAGAAAGGCAGAGAGAGAGAGAGAGAGAGAGAGAGAGAGAGAGAGGCAGAGAGAGAGACGCAGAGAGAGAGAGAGAGCGAGAGACAGAGAGAGAGACAGAGAGAGAGAGAGAGACAGACAGACAGGTGCATAGCAACAACAGTATTGGCAACGGCAATAGACACTTATTAGTTATTAGTCTACAATATTAGTGTTTGTAGTTCTTCCATTCAGGACACCACACAGAATTGGAGGGAAAACATAACTGTCAATCAAACACAATTACCCAGAGTCCTCTGGGAAGGCACACTTCTATTGTGTACCTCCTCCTCCTCCTCCTCCTCCTCGGATCATCCCTTTAGGAAGATGTGTAATAAATGGGAAGGACAGTGTGGGAAAAGAGGTTGGGATCCTGTTCACACACACCCTGCAGTCAATAGAGAGAGCCCCCCCCCCCCACCTTTCAACCTGTAGGATCAGAGCCTCCACTGTGGGGAAGGGGGGAGCATGTGGGACGTCTCTCTGCCTTCCCGCCTTCCTTCCACCAGACCTTGGGTGTGTTTCTACTCACCTACTGATTACTGCTCCTCTTCGTGAGTCCTGCCGTTACCATAACAACCGAACAGACACTGCAGTGTTTAAAAAGATCCGATAGAAAATATATAACATATATAAATATAAATATATAATATCTATAACCTGACAACTGAATATGAAATGTTTTCATCCAGCAGTTCATCATCATCATCATCATCATCATCATCCTCACCACCACCCTCACTGTAGCTCTCAGCTGCCTGTATGGAGCTATCTGCTGCTTACTAACATTTCCTATCAGAGTGAACAGATTGTTCGTTTTCATATTTTATATTTACTGAAAACAGAAATACAGCAGACAGACTGTGAGCTTTTAAAACTTTTAATCTGTCAGGAGGGGAATCAGAGACACCCACACAAACACTGGTTCTTTATGGACCCCTGACGAGCCCAAACTAAATCACATATTTTATACTTTATATTATATTCAATGCATAACAAGAACTGATAAACTGTAAAAACACAATAACTGCAGGAGGTTTGTGTGAAGGTTTTTATACAATCTCTGTCTGTATTATAGATTTAAAAATGTTTCATACGGACTTAATAGACTTATTTTTGAACAAATTCAGTGTATGTGACTGATAATATACTTAAAGATAGAAGTAGGGATAATATTATAGTATTATGATACAGAGAATAAACCTGTGAAGAATGAAGGACTTTGTACTTGTAATGGAGTACTTTGTTGTCCTGATACTTGTACTCCAGTGAAGGTATTTATTACAATGAGTATTTAATGATATATTTCGGGGCTGGTTGCCCCGAGCGAAGCAGGAAGTCTCAGAGTAATTTGGACGTCTTTAACAAGTGTTAATGACCCTGAACGTAAAGAGGCAGATGGTGCACTGTGTCTTTCTTCTTCTCTGCTCCTGCATTTCTCACAAGTGAGTCATGACACCGTGCAGATGAAAACACGTCATTCCAGCGTGGTCGTCACACGCCAAACAACACGCCGAACAACACGCCAAACAACACGTCTTCATGTCTTTGAGTCTGTGTGCTGAGGAATGTGTGAGAGCTGCTGTCAGCTCCTCGTTCCCACACTTCAGCCTCCATTCAGGGCAGTGGCCCACCCTGCGGCGGCCGCCACTGATCCTTTAGCCCCTCATTATGCTCCCACCTCAATGGACCATCTGGAGCTACTGGGGGGTGGGGGCACTGCACACAGACCCCCAGCACACCTCAGAGTGTGCAGGTAGATGATAGAGACAGTGCTCTGGTACCTGAGTTCATTTCATCAAAGAAAACTCTGATTAAAAGAAAAAGAAACGACAAATAATATCTAAAGGTTCTAGATGTTAAAGAGTTCGGTCTAGACCTGCTCTATTTGAAAAGTGTCCTGAGATAACTTCTGTTATGAATTGGTGCTATACAAATAAAACTGAAATGAATTGATGTCAGATTGTGAATCAGAGTTTATCAACAGTGAGTGAACGGGTTGTAACCACTGCTGCCAGTGGGCAACGCTAGCTAACGTTAGCTTATAAATGGAGTCCCCTAATGTCTACAAAGACCGACACCCACCACAACACAGAGTCCACAACACAGAGTCCAACAGAGAGTCCACAACACAGAGTCCACAACACAGAGTCCACAACACAGAGTCCAACACAGAGTCCAACACAGAGTCCACAACACAGAGTCCACAACACAGAGTCCAACACAGAGTCCACAACACAGAGTCCAACACAGGTCCACAACACAGAGTCCACAACACAGAGTCCAACACAGAGTCCACAACACAGAGTCCACAACAGAGTCCAACACAGAGTCCAACACAGAGTCCACAACACAGAGTCCACAACAGAGTCCAACACAGAGTCCACAACACAGAGTCCACAACACAGAGTCCAACACAGAGTCCACAACACAGAGTCCACAACACAGAGTCCAACACAGAGTCCACAACACAGAGTCCACAACACAGAGTCCAACACAGAGTCCAACACAGAGTCCAACACAGAGTTCACAACACAGAGTCCACAACACAGAGTCCACAACACAGAGTCCACAACACAGAGTCCAACACAGAGTCCACCACACAGAGTCCACAACACAGAGTCCAACACAGAGTCCACAACACAGAGTCCAACACAGAGTCCACAACACAGAGTCCACAACACAGAGTCCAACACAGAGTCCAACACAGAGTCCAACACAGAGTCCACAACACAGAGTCCACAACACAGAGTCCAACACAGAGTCCAACACAGAGTCCACAACACAGAGTCCAACACAGAGTCCACAACACAGAGTCCACAACACAGAGTCCAACACAGAGTCCAACACAGAGTTCACAACACAGAGTCCACAACACAGAGTCCAACACAGAGTCCACAACACAGAGTCCAACACAGAGTCCACAACACAGAGTCCACAACACAGAGTCCAACACAGAGTCCAACACAGAGTCCACAACACAGAGTCCAACACAGAGTCCACAACACAGAGTCCAACACAGAGTCCACCACACAGAGTCCACAACACAGAGTCCAACACAGAGTCCACCACACAGAGTCCACAACACAGAGTCCACAACACAGAGTCCACAACACAGAGTCCAACACAGAGTCCACCACACAGAGTCCACAACACAGAGTCCAACACAGAGTCCACCACACAGAGTCCACAACACAGAGTCCACAACACAGAGTCCAACACAGAGTCCACAACACAGAGTCCACAACAGAGTCCAACAACACAGAGTCCAACAAAGTCAAAGCTAACATTACTGCAAAGCTTGTGGGACATATTGTCTGATTGTGCTGCTGGATAACGTTAGCTTGCGGGCTAATGTTAAATGATGTAGCCGTACAAAGCTAACGATAGCTTTCTACTAGCCAAGAGTGATGCGAGGCAGGGGCATCCAGCTAGCTAACTGTAGCTAAGATGTGTCTTGGCTGTGCATTGTGGGTCTGGCGTTGGTTGCTTCGTGGTGTTGGCTGATGGTTGATATGTAAACAGCGAGCTAGTTATTAGCATGGAGCTAACAATCCAAATAAAATATAGGAACATTGCAGATAGTAACGTTATTCTAAATGTGATCGTCAGTTATTTTACAGCGTTCAGTGTTGTAGCTGTTAGCTACAGTTCACTGAACGACCACTGGTGGCGCTGTTAGCTACAGTTTAATGAACGACCACTGGTGGCGCTGTTACCTACAGTTCACTGAACGACCACTGGTGGCGCTGTTAGTTACAGTTTAATGAACGACCACTGGTGGCGCTGTTAGCTACAGTTCACTGAACGACCACTGGTGGCGCTGTTAGCTACAGTTTAATGAACGACCACTGGTGGCGCTGTTAGCTACAGTTTAATGAACGACCACTGGTGGCGCTGTTACCTACAGTTCACTGAACGACCACTGGTGGCGCTGTTAGTTACAGTTTAATGAACGACCACTGGTGGCGCTGTTAGCTACAGTTCACTGAACGACCACTGGTGGCGCTGTTAGCTACAGTTTAATGAACGACCACTGGTGGCGCTGTTAGCTACAGTTTAATGAACGACCACTGGTGGCGCTGTTAGCTACAGTTCACTGAACGGCCACTGGAGGCGCTGTTAGCTACAGTTTAATGAACGACCACTGGAGGCGCTGTTAGCTACAGTTTAATGAACGACCACTGGTGGCGCTGTTAGCTACAGTTTAATGAACGACCACTGGAGGCGCTGTTAGCTACAGTTTAATGAACGACCACTGGTGGCGCTGTTAGCTACAGTTTAATGAACGACCACTGGAGGCGCTGTTAGCTACAGTTTAATGAACGACCACTGGTGGCGCTGTTAGTTACAGTTCACTGAACGACCACTGGTGGCGCTGTTAGCTACAGTTCACTGAACGACCACTGGTGGCGCTGTTAGTTACAGTTTAATGAACGACCACTGGAGGCGCTGTTAGCTACAGTTTAATGAACGACCACTGGAGGCGCTGTTAGCTACAGTTTAATGAACGACCACTGGAGGCGCTGTTAGCTACAGTTTAATGAACGACCACTGGAGGCGCTGTTAGCTACAGTTTAATGAACGACCACTGGTGGCGCTGTTAGCTACAGTTTAATGAACGACCACTGGAGGCGCTGTTAGCTACAGTTTAATGAACGACCACTGGTGGCCCTGTTAGCTACAGTTTAATGAACGACCACTGGTGGCGCTGTTAGCTACAGTTTAATGAACGACCACTGGTGGCGCTGTTAGTTACAGTTCACTGAACGACCACTGGTGGCGCTGTTAGCTACAGTTCACTGAACGACCACTGGCGGCGCTGTTAGCTACAGTTCACTGAACGACCACTGGAGGCGCTGTTAGCTACAGTTTAATGAACGACCACTGGCGGCGCTGTTAGCTACAGTTCACTGAACGACCACTGGAGGCGCTGTTAGCTACAGTTCACTGAACGACCACTGGTGGCGCTGTTAGCTACAGTTTAATGAACGACCACTGGCGGCGCTGTTAGCTACAGTTCACTGAACGACCACTGGTGGCGCTGTTAGCTACAGTTTAATGAACGACCACTGGTGGCGCTGTTACCTACAGTTCACTGAACGACCACTGGTGGCGCTGTTAGTTACAGTTTAATGAACGACCACTGGTGGCGCTGTTAGCTACAGTTCACTGAACGACCACTGGTGGCGCTGTTAGCTACAGTTTAATGAACGACCACTGGTGGCGCTGTTAGCTACAGTTTAATGAACGACCACTGGTGGCGCTGTTACCTACAGTTCACTGAACGACCACTGGTGGCGCTGTTAGTTACAGTTTAATGAACGACCACTGGTGGCGCTGTTAGCTACAGTTCACTGAACGACCACTGGTGGCGCTGTTAGCTACAGTTTAATGAACGACCACTGGTGGCGCTGTTAGCTACAGTTTAATGAACGACCACTGGTGGCGCTGTTAGCTACAGTTCACTGAACGACCACTGGAGGCGCTGTTAGCTACAGTTTAATGAACGACCACTGGTGGCGCTGTTAGCTACAGTTTAATGAACGACCACTGGAGGCGCTGTTAGCTACAGTTTAATGAACGACCACTGGTGGCGCTGTTAGCTACAGTTTAATGAACGACCACTGGAGGCGCTGTTAGCTACAGTTTAATGAACGACCACTGGTGGCGCTGTTAGCTACAGTTTAATGAACGACCACTGGAGGCGCTGTTAGCTACAGTTCACTGAACGACCACTGGTGGCGCTGTTAGTTACAGTTCACTGAACGACCACTGGTGGCGCTGTTAGCTACAGTTCACTGAACGACCACTGGTGGCGCTGTTAGCTACAGTTTAATGAACGACCACTGGAGGCGCTTTTAGCTACAGTTTAATGAACGACCACTGGTGGCGCTGTTAGCTACAGTTTAATGAACGACCACTGGAGGCGCTGTTAGCTACAGTTTAATGAACGACCACTGGAGGCGCTGTTAGCTACAGTTTAATGAACGACCACTGGTGGCGCTGTTAGCTACAGTTTAATGAACGACCACTGGTGGCGCTGTTAGCTACAGTTTAATGAACGACCACTGGTGGCCCTGTTAGCTACAGTTTAATGAACGACCACTGGTGGCGCTGTTAGCTACAGTTTAATGAACGACCACTGGTGGCGCTGTTAGTTACAGTTCACTGAACGACCACTGGTGGCGCTGTTAGCTACAGTTCACTGAACGACCACTGGAGGCGCTGTTAGCTACAGTTCACTGAACGACCACTGGAGGCGCTGTTAGCTACAGTTTAATGAACGACCACTTGCGGCGCTGTTAGCTACAGTTCACTGAACGACCACTGGAGGCGCTGTTAGCTACAGTTCACTGAACGACCACTGGTGGCGCTGTTAGCTACAGTTTAATGAACGACCACTGGCGGCGCTGTTAGCTACAGTTCACTGAACGACCACTGGAGGCGCTGTTAGCTACAGTTCACTGAACGACCACTGGTGGCGCTGTTAGCTACAGTTTAATGAACGACCACTGGTGGCGCTGTTAGTTACAGTTTAATGAACGACCACTGGTGGCGTTGTTAGCTACAGTTTAATGAACGACCACTGGTGGCGCTGTTAGCTACAGTTTAATGAACGACCACTGGTGGCGTTGTTAGCTACAGTTTAATGAACGACCACTGGTGGCGCTGTTAGCTACAGTTTAATGAACGACCACTGGTGGCGCTGTTAGCTACAGTTTAATAAACGTTACATACAGGAGCTTCAGACTTTTACATGTATTGTGTTTTTAGATTGCTGTATTTTGAGCTCCCAGTCCATGTGGCCTCCACTGCGCAGAATAATAGAAAGGTTCTGTTAATTCTATTAAACAAGAAATTATCCACCTTGTTCACACACTGACTGCAAGAAGACATTAAATGTGACTTCAGATATCTGAACACACCCAAAGTTTTTTGGCGGGAGTTTGGTGAAAGGTCCAGCTGTTGCTCCCAGGACAAAGAGAGGACCACAGCTTTCTCACACTCACAGTGTGTGTGATCCCAGTTTCCCTCCAGCTCTCCCAGCACCTCTTACAGTTTATTGCCTGTAAGTGCGGCCATATGGTAATAAGCAGCTTAACATTTCCATGTGAATATGGCAGCAGTGAGCAGAGAGTGAGGCACCATTATGACACTGAAACTGCTGGATATCCGACCGTTGAATTAGTGTTGATCTGTTTACGGAGTTCAACAATGAATATCAGTGGTGAGAACGGTATTTGAAGCATGGCGCATGCAACCACACTTATTATTGTTGTGCCCTCATTCATGGCGCACAACAATACATTCCTCCTCCTTTATGTGCACATTCTGCTGCAGCCTAGTTTCAGTAACAATGAGAGGAGCTGCTCAAACATCTCAAAGGCGAACCTGAGGTAGAGGAGGATGGCACTGCAGGGGTCTCAAAAACCTGTTGAACACTCTCAAATCCAAAATCAGTCTAAGTCATCTCTTCTGTGACGTGATCTTTCTGCCTCACCTTGCCTGAACTGAGCGGACGAGTTGCTGGTCCACTGGCCCCGGGCACTCTGCTGATCACGTTTAGCTCAGAAAACCTTCCTAACTGAGTGAAAGGACATTTCAGCACTCACATTCAACGGGCTCCTGTCTATATATTCTATAAATGAAAGTTGCACACAACAATTATTAACTGAGGTAAAAGCTGCACTGAAGCACCAAACACTTGAGAGAGAAACTCCCTCCAGCCATGATCAGAGCTATTTGAATCCTCTAACTGCTGAAAGAAGCTTCAGTGCTTCCTTTATTGTGTCCTTTAGCAGAGGAAACTCTGGACCATCCTTTACATACCAAAGGATATAATCCCACGATTCTTTGCGGCAACAACATTAAAAAAAACCCAATTAAAATGACCAATGAAGGACGCAGATCAACTTCTAACAATAACAAAATAATACATATGTATATATTATTCAATTCAATTCACTTCAATTTTATTTGTATAGCGCCAATTCATAACAGAAGTTATCTCAGGACACTTTTCAAATAGAGCAGGTCTTGACCGAACTCTTTATAACATTATTTACAGAGACCCAACAGTACCACCATGAGCAAGACCTTGGAGACAAGGGCAAGGAAACACTGCCTGTTAAAAGGCAGAAACCTAGGACAGATCCTCCGGCTCTAGGTGGGTGGTCGTCTGTCTCGACCAGTTGGGGTGAGAAAGAGAGAGAGAGAGAGAGAGAGACAGACAGACAGACAGACAGACAGACAGACAGACAGACAGGCGCACAGCAACAACAGTATTGGCAATGGCAATCTAGCAGGACCATGGCAGGAGGCTCCACCAGGATCGACAAGAACCTGCAAGACGAGAAAGCACAAGAACTCCGGGGAAGAAGTGAAGTTAGTAACATGCATTAATGGAACATGAATGAGTGCAGAAAGAGAGAGGAAGGGAGGAGCTCAGTGCACCATGGGAAATCCCCCGATAGTCTAGGCCTATAGCAGCATAACTAAGGGATGGTTCAGGACGCACCTGATCCAGCCCTAACTATAAGCTTTATCAAAGAGGAATGTCTTAAGCCTACTCTTGAATGTGGTGAGGGTGTCTGCCTCCTGAACCACAACTGGAAGCTGGTTCCACAGGAGAGGAGCTTGGTAACTGAAGGCTCTGGCTCCTGTTCTACTTTTAGAGACTATAGGAACCACAAGTAGCCCAGCATTCAGAGAACGTAGTGTTCTAGAGGGGTAATAGGGTACTATGAACTCTTTAAGATATGAAGGGGCCTGACCATGAAGAGCTTTATAGGTGAGGAGGAGGATTTTAAATTCTATTCTACATTTTACAGGGAGCCAATGCAGAGAAGCTAGTACAGGAGAGATGTGATCTCTTTTTCTAGTTCCTGTCAGTACTCAGTAGATTTTATATTGTAAAATCTACTGGTTCTGAAGTTGTGTGAAGTAGACTAGAGCGCGCCTTTTGTTGAAAAAATACATTTAGAACAGAGCAGTTGGAGATAAAGAGGATGATTATGTTCATCATGTTTGTTTCTTAAAGGGAAAAGACTCTGAAGTGAAGCAGTTAAACTCATCTTGCTCCCCCTGCTGTCTCACATTATAAATATATGTTTAATCTTCTAGCTTTTTAGTTTCTGATCTTTATGTTTGACCCTGGTAGTTTTTGATTTTTGTGAAATAGTTTTGTTTTTGTGTGCAAAGTAAAATAATGTAAGCAAAATAAAACTAGGATGTTTGAGAAAGCTGTGTTAAAAAGTATTTTCTCTGTTTAATAGCACTTGGGAAAAACTTTTAAAAAAATGAAATTTTCATAGGGGGGCTAATAATTCCGTCCTCATGTGTATATATATTCAACGACAGATTGCAATGAACATAAAATATGTCAACAGTTTAACAGTATAAAATATACATTATTTCATTTATATCTACATATTTAAATTTGCATATTTATTTGCTTAAAGAAGTTGTTCCCTTAATTGGCACTTCTTTACTGGATATGATTAATCTTTCTTTATTATCAGGATATGTACCACAGTCCTTTAAAGTAGCTGTAATTAAACCCCTTCTTAAAAAGCCCACTCTTGACCCAGGGGTTTTAGCCAACTATAGACCGATTTCTAACCTCCCCTTCCTCTCTAAGATTCTGGAGAAAGTAGTCGCCAAAGAGTTGTGTGACTTCTACATAACAATAGTTTATTTGTGGATTTTCAGTCAGGATTTAGAGTTCATCATAGCACAGAGACAGCTCTGGTTAAAGTTAATAATGACCTTCTGACTGCTTCTGACAATGGACTTGTCTCTGTACTATTATTAGATCTTAGTGCTGCATTTGACACCATTGACCATAATATTCTTTTACAGAGACTTGAGCATCAAATTGGCATTAAAGGAACCGCACTAAGCTGGTTTAAGTCATATTTATCAGATCGTTTTGCAGTTTGTACATGTTCACACAACGATGAATCTTCCATAAATACTACAGTTAGTCATGGAGTTCCACAAGGTTCTGTACTTGGACCAATACTATTGACTTTATATATGCTCCCTTTAGGCAACATTATTAGGAATCACTTCATTAACTTTCACTGTTATGCAGATGATACGCAGTTATATCTATCGATCAAGCCCGATGAAATTAATCAATTATCTAAATTACAAACATGTCTTAAGGACATAAAATCCTGGATGAGCTGCAATTTTCTGATGTTAAACTCAGAAAAAAACAAAATTCTTGTTCTTGGCCCCAAAAACCTTAGAGACTCACTGTCTAAAGATATAGTTACTCTAGATGGCATTACCTTGGCCTCTAGCACCACTGTCAGGAATCTTGGAGTTATCTTTGATCAGGATTTGTCTTTTAATTCCCACATAAAGCAGACCTCTAGGACTGCCTTCTTTCATTTACGTAATATTAGAAAAATTAGACACATCCTATCACAGACAGATGCAGAAAAACTAATCCATGCATTTGTTACTTCAAGGCTGGATTACTGCAACTCTTTATTATCAGGTTGCCCCAATAAGTCCATTAAAACGCTCCAATTAATTCAGAACGCTGCAGCACAAGTACTGACAGGAACTAGAAAAAGAGATCACATCTCTCCTGTACTAGCTTCTCTGCACTGGCTCCCTGTAAAATGTAGAATAGAATTTAAAATCCTCCTCCTCACCTATAAAGCTCTTCATGGTCAGGCCCCTTCATATCTTAAAGAGCTCATAGTACCCTATTACCCCTCTAGAACACT